TTTATCCATTTGAAGCATGCACCTACAACATCTACAGGATACTAATGAAAGATGTAGACGCGATGCAGCAACATTATGGAGAACCCACTCACTGAAATTTGCGTCTTGGTTAAAAGAGCAGGTAAGAGTCATAAGCTGATCAACAATTTAGTTTACTGGTTTTTGGTTATAGATGTGTATTGACTCTTAAATTTTTTTTGTTTAGATTCCTATTAGCTCAGAGAATCACGAAGACACACTGAAGTGGTTGGCCTACGGTCCTCGTGTTAGCTCTAGGTCTTACACTGGTTACATAGTTAATGGTATGAGGTTTCACACGATTTCAGTTGACAGGGAAAGCCAGAATAGTGGTGTTCTGTATGAGGCAACAACTATGTGTAGGTCTAGTGCAAAAGACACTTCACAGATGGTTGATTTGGTCACATACTATGGCAGAGTGGTGGAGATTCTACTGATCGATTACAATACGTTCTACATTCCTGTATTTCGTTGTCTATGGGCAAATGTAGGTAATGGAGTCTTCCATCTTCTACCGAAGTGTGATCAATTAGAGTTGGTTTCTCAAATGGCTTTTGCTAGAGATCCATATATCCTCGCCTCACAAGCAAAGCAAGTTTTTTATTCCAGAGTAGATGAGTCATCTACTTGGTATGTAGCTATGAGAGGTCCGTCAAGAAGATACCGTGAAGATGATGAAGATAGACAGGCAGGTGTAGGTCCAATGGCAGCAGTAGTAGTCATGGATGTTGAGGACTTGGTCGATGATTCTAGAAATGCCCGTTCTGATTGTGAAGGAATTTATGTGTGACTAAATTGAATTGTTTGCAGGTTAAGAACAACTATATCGCTGCAATGGAACAAAAACAGGTGTCTCTGCAGGAACAGGTTAATGATTTACAGAAGCAATTTCGCCGAATGAATAATCAAGCACTACAAAAAAAGATGGATATTGTGACTAATTTTTGTGTCAAAATAGTTTGTCACAATTTTGTGACGAATTGTTAACTAACTTGTAACCAAGTTATTACGTTACAAAATGGTAACTATTTGGTCATAATATTATGACTGAATATTAAGTAACAAAATAATGTCACAAATGATGACGAATTAGAGACAAAAAATTTGTCATAAATATTTCTTTAATATATGTGATCAAAATGTTATTAATTTACGATTTCAATGCCATCAACGTAACTGTTATGAAAAAAAAACTCATCACGTTTTATGACTATTTTAGTTACAACGAAAGCACGTGAGTATTTAAAATTATATAATACTAAATTTTTTTACTCTCAATTTCAAAATTAAGCCATTATCTCTATCTTTAACATATAAACATGATTTACTCTGAAATAGTGACCAAAAATGAATTCTAAACATGCCTATAACTTATATAAACACAGATTTTAAAATTCATATCAAAAATTAAATGTTGACAAGAAAATATAATTCATATAAAAAGTTCAGATTTAAACTACAAATTTTCATTGTATGCAT